CGCCATGTTTTAGTTTCAATTCCTCACAGCGAATCGGCGATCGCGAAGAGGGAGTTCCGCTTCTATAAGTGTAGAATTCTGTGCTTTAGGTTAAAATTGACTTTGATTTTTTTGTCTTGTCTTCCAGGTTACAAGCTGGCGTTTAACTACATGAAGGCTCGACGCTTTGTGGATGCTATTGACATCTGTCATCATGTAAGGATTGTGGGTGGTTGGCCGGCGGTCCGGTGTGGTTTGCTCCTTCTTTCCGTGAGATAGTTCACAAATGACGTCAGCTAAAATTCTGCCAAAAATGGACCCCCCTCCCCCCCGAGATGACATCATTTGTGAATGGTCCCCTATCAAACATCAATCCATATCACTGTCCTCCTTTTTTTGTTACTCTCTCGTAATACCTCTAAATCTTCAGCACTTATGTGACCTATTTGTGTTAGAAATGCCTTCAAACTTTTACAGAAACTAAATGTAAGGCTTGTTTCTGTAGAGATTTAGAGGTGTTTTGAACTCTTTCCCTACACCCAGTCACATTTTGCAGCCTGTGTGACTCACAATTTCATTGTCAATAGCTAGCTGCATTTCTCAGCTTGACAAATTTGTTCACGTCTCTCACTCTTAAAGTCTTCATTCTCACAGATTTGGCGCTCATATAACCTCATGCAGTTGCGAGCACCGTAAGACCTCTACTAAAACAAAACAAAAGACTCACAGATACCTGTACTGGCACTGGCATCAATGGTGTATCAGTGTTGTATCCCTCTCAGCCGGGGTTGGCCTAGACAGGCAGGGTGGGTCAGAAGCACTCCTCCGAAATGTTCAAAATTGTGCTGATGGGGGCGTAAAACCTACTTTTTGGTTGTTGTTAAAACCCAACTATTTTATACTGCTTTCTTTGAACTGTCTGATAAGAAATTCATTTCCCACATTTTAAAAGGGAGACATTTCAGTCTCTCTAAACTACTTGCAAGAAATTCTTAAAATTTTCTCTGACTTGTGATTACAGTCAGAAAAGGAAAAATGGTTGCCAAAATGTCTTGGTCTTTAGTTACCATCTTTATAAGCATCTTTTCTCAGGGATCAGTAAAGGTCTTTTTTTTCAGTTTAGTAAGTTCATTTATTTCTATCTTTATGTCTACTTTCCCACAGGGTTTGATAAAAGTGTTATTTTATTTTTGTTAAACTTTTACTTTAATTTATCTCTATTTTTTGGTCTATTTTCTCATGGAGACCAGTAACAATTTTGGGGGGTTTTTTTTAGTTCATTCATTTCTATCTTTATGTTAGATCAATCAAATTTGGGTTGTTTTTTTAATTGTTTATTCTTTTTTGTTTATTCTTTTTTTTTTTTTCTTTAATCGTTATGCATGTCTTCCCACAGGTGTTGAGTTCCCACCCAAACTACCCAAAGATCCGCAAAGACATCTTGGAAAAGGCGCGGGCCAGCATTAGGATATGAGGACTGGAGCTGCCTGGGCAGACTTGTAGATCTTAATATGGGGATTATTTCTTTAATTTGTTTAATATGTGATAATATGTGTATGCAAATGTGTGGCATCGTGGTGAAATCAGGCGCTCGTCAAAATACTTGAAATGGAAGAAACTGACATTTTTTCGGCCTTAAGGCAATTTTTATCAAATTTCAGGGGGCTCACACCACCTTTAATTATCCATTTAAAAACATTTTTTTTTTCTATGAGGATCTCAGTAAAACACATTGATCAAAGTTACTCAAAAATGTAAATTTTGCAGTTTTCAAGAGCTCTCAAGCTTTGGAAGTCACCAAATTTGGTGGCCTTTTTCTCGCTAATTTTACCTCCTTCAATGATTGACTGCTTTTCAAGATAAGTAGGTATTTTCTCCATCAGAAACAAAACAAATGAACAAGCATTAAGATAATGCCCAAACTCTATATGCTCCAAAATTGATGAGAGCCTGGTCCTGCCATGTTGTAACACAAATATATGAACTTTGAGAAACATTTCCTTGAACATCATCAGTCAAATAAGGTAAGGCTTACTTGTGTAAAGATGATGCCTCTTTGCTGATTTCAAAATATTGTGGGTTGGGTGGAAAAATGTGGTGTTGATTTCAAAATGTTGTGGGTTTGGGTGGGATAAAATATTGGGTATGGATGGGATGGCATTGGTAAATACTGTTCCCGAGACTTCCCTCTCCCTTGCCTGTTTTAAAAAAAGTTATAGTAAGGAGGTGTTACTTGTGAGTAACGTACTGAGAAAAGGAGGGATGAGGAAAATAGACATTTGACAGGAAAGAAAGAGTACAACCACACCAGAGCACCTGCCAACCACCCACTCCCATCCCAGTGAATCTCACTAGTAAGGGTAGTTGATCAGTTATACCGCGTTGAGCTAACATTTCCGTCCACTTTTTTCTGTGATATGAGTCATGTTGTTTGCATGTATATATGTTATGGTATTCATGATGGGTCTCTATCATTGTGGTCTTCACTAGAGAAGGCTAGAAGGAAAAGAAGAATAAAACTGATGCAACCCTAAAGAAATAGTTAAAACTCTGAGACTTAAAAGATATTAAACACATCAAATGATGATAGTAAGGATAATGTGTATATAAATTATGTATACTTTTATGGTACACATCGTGCGCAACTCAAAGGTGAAAATAATAAAAGAACAGACATTACATTCAAGAAAGAATGGAAACTCTTTGAGACCTAATAATAATAGTAATAATAATTATAATAGAGCAGATCCCATTTAAATAGTGCAGAGATCCCTTGTAAAGGGTGGTCTCTTTGAACTTTACACTTTGTTATCTTAGTCTTAGGGACAGTAAATGTTTCTACGAGTAGATTCACGATTTCACGGGTGCTCTGTTATCTCAGTTGGTATCATGTGGTCTACGGAGCGGATGGCCTGGTTTGAATCCAAGACCCAGACTGGGCGTTCTTGGACTCGGGGTCGTTTTGTGGAATTTCAAGGCTCTCAACCCATTTGGCTAGGTCTTATCAGAGACAGGAGGTTAAGTTCGGAGGTCCTGCCATTTGAATATCGTAATAGTGTTGAAGGGAGCGTTAAACCTACAGACCTTTTACAAGATTTCACAACATCCATTATGACCTGTTTGTCATGAGATACTACAGTGGGTGAATGAAATGAAAATTTTTTAATTTGGTTGGAGAATGATCTGACCAAAATTATACTACCAGTACGATGTACAGCGAAGGGAGAGACATTCTTGAATGATGCGGTGTAACTTAATCTAATGTCACTCTGTGAGTTTGTTGTTTTGTAAGAGGTATGCAGCTCTGTGTTTGGCAGTTTTTCTGTCTGTTGTGATCTCGTTTACGTTTTAAAAAAATCATCTGTATGTCCCTAAATGTTTCTTTGAATAAACTATTTTTACAACAATGCATATCTGTATTCATACATCTTTTTAATTGCACACTGTGTGACTTTTTGCATCTTGTACGTTTCTATTTTGCCTCAACCGGGCGAGTCAAAAATGCTTTGTTAACCATGAAAGTAGATTGGAAATAATGTGGTAACCTGTCGCTACATATCGCCAGTCATAACGTAACTGGTCAAGTCCCTTTTTTTTTAGAGAAACCTTATTTGAAAAAGTGCTCACGAAAGTGGGCTGCTAAAGGCTACTGGACTCGTGATCGTGAGGTTGCAGGTTCGGGAATTCGAGCTGCGGGCCCGACATTGTGTCCTTGGGTAAGGCACTTTAAACGAATTTTCCTCACTTCACCCAAGTGGGAATGGGTACCCAGCCATAGATAGGGAAAGATCTTGTCAGTATGTTAGTTTTTTAACGCCTATGAATGGCCGCTTGCGCTGTATGCTTCCTAGGAAGTAAAGGTTGTTTCAGAATGCTCTCAGGTCTGCTAGGGTAATAGTATAGATTGTGAAGCGCATAGAGCTTGCTGTTGAGCGGGGATTTGCGCTATACAAATAAGATAAGATAAGATACATCTTTATTGTCCAGACCTGTCCTGGCACATTGGTTTGGTGTTTCACCATGTGTACACACACACACACACACACACACACACACACACACACACACACACAGGCACACACGCTCACTCGCTCACACACATGCACACACACGTAGGCTTACAATCACATGCATAATATAAATGAGCAGCAATATAAACAATAATAATCGTAAGCTAGATACACACTCAATGTTATTTTGATGCATGCTCTAAGGTCGTAATTATACTTATACAAGATGGTTAAGATGGAAGCATTTTGATAGATGATGGTAAAAATGACCTTCTGTATCTTTCTTTGTTACAGATCAGAAGCCTAGATCTTTTACTTCTGACTGATGTTTTTATTTGAGGGAACAAGGGATGTTTGTTGTCTAAAAAGATGGAATTAATTTTTTAGTGCAGGCTGTTATATACAATTCATCCAAGTAGGGGAATGTAGATGTTGAAATGTTACATGCTTTCCGTATTTGTAAATTTAATTTTTCTTTATTTTGTTGTCTTGTGTTCCCGGCCCATGCTGTTATACAAAAATTGTAGTTTCTATGGTTGAATGGTAGAACATGGACATCAATGTTTTATCAACTTTAAAATACTTTAGCTTCCTTAGAAAAAATAGTCTTTTGTTCACTTTTTTATGCAGGAGAGAAGTGTGGACACGCCAGTTGAGTTTGTTGTCTATTGTAACACCCAAGTACTTATAGTCTGACACTTGCTCGATGTTTTCACATTTAATTTCGAGTGGATGCAGGGGCAGTTTCTTTATTCTAAAATCAACAACAAGTTCTTTTTGGGTTTTTTTTTCACATTTAAAAACAGCTTATGATTTTCACACCATTCAGAAAAGTTATGTACAAAATTCCGGTAAGCGTTTTCGTTATGGTCAGCCTGAATTAGCTCAATTAATGGTTCAATCATCTGCAAATTTTATCAACTTGATGTTACTGTTGTTTATTTGGCAATCATTCGTGCATAGTGTGAATAAAACTGGTGACAAAACACATCCTTGAGGGGCTCCTGTATTTGTTGTGATGTATGTCAATGAAGGTTTTAATTTTACATACTGGGTTCGGTTGCTAAGAAAATTGTCTATCCATGATATTAAATTGACGTTAACACTTATGTTTTCTAATTTCTTTAAAAGGATAGCTGGCTGGATAGTATTAAAGGCTGAAGAAAAATCAACAAACAGGATCCTACAGTATGTTTTTGGCTTGTCTAAGTGTCTATAGATACGTTGTCAAGAAATAGTAAAATGGCGTCTTCCACACTTCTCCCGTGACGATATATGCGAATTGTAGAGGGTCCTGGGTGGGTTCTATGTACGTTCGTAGTCTTTTTAGCACAATTTTTTCTAGACATTTTATAACTACCGATGTTAAGGCTATTGGCCTTAGGCCATTCATTTCAGTAATTTTTTCTTTCTTTGGAAGGGGGACGATTTCAGAACATTTCCAAATAGTGGGAATAGCACGTGTCAACGACGACTGGTTGATAATATAGGTATAAATAAAACTAAGTTGTGCTGAACACATTTTCAGAATTTTGGGTTGCTCACCGTCTGGACCACATGCCTTTCTCACATTCACACGTCCAAACACACATCTAACCTCACGTTCTTCAACAACAACAGCATTATTTTCTTTTGTGTCGGTGTTCACACATGGCAAGTCACACGGACTACCTTTGTCAAAACTGGAGAAAAAGACATTGAATTTATTTGCATACCCTTCTCTGTGAACACATATGTTTGTGGTTTAGTTTTGTAGCCCACTATGGTCTGAAGTCCAGTCCATGTCTCTCGAGAGTTATTTGAACGAAACAGATCTTCCAGTTTCTTTTTATATTTTTGTTTTTCAACCCAGATTACTTTGTTTAATAGCTTTGTCTATGACTTTTAGTTCTGTTTTGTTATGGTTTTTAAAAGGCTTTTTCTTTTTATGGATTAGATCTTTGACTCCAGAATTTACCCACGGTTTAGAGTTAGGGAAGATGGTAACTTGTTTTTTAAGGGCCACTATATCTACACAAAATTTAACATAGTCTGTGACTGCTGTACATAAATCATTGATATCACAACATGCATTAATAAAAACATTCCAGATGGTGCAGTCAAAACATCCTCTCAGTTGATCTTCACTTTCTTCAGTCCAGGTGGTGACTGTTCGAACTTCTGGCTTCGTTCGTCTCAATACTGGGCAATACAGAGGAAGTAATAAAGACATGTTGTGGTCAGAGTTACCGATGGGTGGGAGGGCAACACCCATGTAGGCTTGGGTGACATTGGCGTAACACAGATCTAATGTCCTTTGGCGTCTCGTTGGAATGTCGACGTACTGGGTCAAGTTGGGTAGGGCGGCGTTCAGAGTACAGCTGTTGAAGTCACTGGTAGTAAAGTTAGCCGCGTCAGGAGATTTTGTGGTTTGGTTGTGAATGAGGTTGGATAGAGTATCGGTGGCATTTGGGACATTGGTGTGTGGAGGAATATACACAACATTCATAAATATACTTGGGAACTCATGGGGTGGGTAGAACGGACGTAGATGTAAAGTGAGAACTTCCACATGAGGAGAACAGGACTGGTGTACTACCTGTATGTTATTGGGGTGGCACCATCGATCGTTAATGTACGCACACACACCTCCACCATGACTTTTATTTGAGAAGCTATTCCTGTCTGTACGAAAAACATTGAACCCTTTTAGGACTAGTATTGGTGGTATCTTCAGTGAACCAGGTCTCTGAGAAGCATAGAATGGAGGCTTCTCTATATATTAATGCAGATGTCTCACATTAGGCTTTAGTTCATCAAGTTTGTTGTTCAAAGATCGAGCATTACCAGTAATGATAGTCGGGAGGAATGGTTTGGAAGGCCTCCTGTGAGCATGGGCCTTTCCTGTTATCTATTATTATTAATAAGGACAATTTAAAGGAAGCAAGCAAGAAATGTGGTTTCTGGGATACTTGACTGTACATAATGGCTTTGAACATCTTGCTCTCTTAGACAAAATGAAAGACGCCCCTAGCAGGGGCAGACCACGAGAAATTTATTTGGAAAACCTGAACAGATGGGTGACGTGGAAACATCAGGATAATGTGGGGTTTTTTTTTAGAGCATCAGAACTAAATGGAGAACCATGGTCACTGACGTCCGTTTCAGATCTGGCACTTTGTGGTGTTTAATTCAAATGTCACCCACTTCTCCAAAGGCAGGACCATAGAGTTAATTTCTGGCTATAAATCAAACGGTACACACAGGTTTGGCAATTTCTTTCCACCATCCAGAGTTGAAACGCAACCTTGCTGGGACTCGAACTCATGACACTGACACCTTCATCAGGTCTCTTGTCATGTGACCCAAACACTCTAGCCAAGTCTTGTCATGTGACACCACAATTGAAATAATTTGATATTTGAAACAAAGATAAAACAGAGCACACAGCTGACTATAAAACCATTGTTTGTTGTAAGAATATATATAAATTTACTTCAATGCACCAATGAAAACAGCTTTAAAAAAACAACAACTATTCAAACATTCTCACAAGATAAAAATTCATTTACACAATTTCTCTCTTAAATATACCCCAAAGTTTGAAAGTATACTGTACAGTACAGCAGAAATGTTGACTGAGGTTACTGGCACTTTCCCACTTGGAGACAAGGTCACTTGAAAGTAGTACAAAAGTAAACAAGGGGGGAAAAAAAGATAGATCTGTTGTGTAAGTCTTAATAATATAAAAGAATTTATGTATAACTGGTAAAAAAATATTCTCAAAAACTTTTAACAGCGTACAATTTGCTCTCTGACTTTGACATAAAAAAATGAAACTGTACAAATTTAAATGCTTCATGGACACAATTATAAACTTTAAGGTCAACTGTAAACAATACAAGCATTTGAAAAAGATGAACACAGAAAATGTAGAATTCTTTCAATGACAATGAAACACCAGGCTTCAAACTTCAATTAGAAACAATGGGAACTGGTTAAAAATGTATCCTAAGCCTAGGGCAAACACTGCTCTTTGGTTTGTTTCTTCGTTATGTACCTGTCTTTACACCCCCATGAACACAATTTAATAACAAAAATAAATAGCATTTGTAAAGCACACAACCCCGCTCGACAGCAAGCTCTATGCGCTTTACACTATATTATTACCCCAGCAGACCATAGAACACTCAGAAACATTCTCAGCTTCCCGGGAAGCATACAGTGCAAGCAGCTGATAAAGCGCTCAAACACTAACAAACTGACAAGATCTTTCGCTGTCTATAGCTGAGTACCCATTCCCACCTGGGTGAAGTGAGGAAAACTCGTGTAAAGTGCCTTTCCCAAGGACACAACGTCGGGTCCTTGACAGGATTCGAACCCACGACCTTACGGTTGCGAGTCCGAGAGCCTGACCACTAGGCAGGCTTCTGACCCTGTTTGTCAGGGCCAACCAAGGCTAGGAAGGATACAATATCTCAGCAGAGGGACCGAGATACTCCATAAAAATTCTTCCCACCCGAGAGTCAAATTCCAGTCTTCTGCATGCGACAGCAAAGTGCCTAACCACTAAAGTGACAGAGGCCGGTTTGTGATATAATCCATCTAAGGTCATCACCCTACTTCTACTGTCCTCCTCCACTTTCTTTTTGTTATAGTGAGAGTTTTACAGCACTTTCAACACAAATAGGTCATACAAGAGGCGCATATTAAAAGTGTTACTAGAAAGTATCAAGGCTCTTTTTAGCACTGATATTCTCAGATTTCTGATAATTTTGAACTGCTGTTTCACCATTTCCTCTCTATACTAAAATAAAATGAATAATATCCTGCGTGAATGAGGGTTTGAAGACAAAAAAACAACATGTAAAAACATTTAAATTATTTGCCATTATGTAAATTTATACAGTCCCACCTTTTTTAACTGTTATCTGTACAAACAGCCTTTTCCCACTTCCTCCTCTTTATCTCCCCCCTTGCGTTTTTCTATATATTATAATGACACTGTCCAGGACAATCACTTGGACTGTAGAGTATACAACCATCTTTACAACATCTAACAAAAATTAAATGTATGACAAAGTGAGTTCAAACACATATACACATTCATTCTTATTATAAGCTGTTTTTAAGTTTCTTATGATAAACTTCAACCTTTTCATACAAAACATATTTATGAACACCCATTTGATCAATCATTACGACATATATATAATATATATATTTAGCAAAAATCTTAGGTTTCAGTTGCATGTCAATATCTGAAAATATTTTTGTTCTTTCATAAAAATCTCTCTCTCTCTTTCTCTCTCTCTCTCTGCCTCTCTTTCTCTCTCTCTGTTCCCCTCCCACATGTATATATATATATCTTTCTCTTCCTCCATTTAACATATATACAACAACACACACCTTAAACACTCACTCAACATTCCAACAGGCAAGAGTATGTATAAACAGAACTATAGACCTGTACTATAATATTCAAGACTGTGCACTCCTTGGGAAATTCCAGTTCACCAAGGAGGGCACTATTCCACTCAGCTGTTCAGTACCAAACGAAGGGTAAGGAGAAAGAGCTACAAGTACACTTGACAATAGTGACTGCTGTTTTGTCCTTCCTTTGTGCCTCTGGGGTGCACACCAGCGCTACGAAGTTTTCACGGAAAGCAAAGAGTGGCGGCCATGACAGGGCCCTGTCTCAGATATTATAATTCAAGTCGAAGAGACAGAACATAGAGGCAAGAAAATAGAAATCGAGTAACCAGTGTTGTGCCTCATATGGAAATGTCGTAGAATTATAATACACATTTAGCTCAGTCCTCTGTACTAAGTTTTGCTACTATCACGAACTATGAACTTGGAATGATAGTATTTTTACAAAGTTTTGCAACTACCATGAACAATGACGAGCTCACCATTCTTAACTCTCACCAAGATGCCACAGAACTATTATGAACATCAGAATGATAATGTTTTGTGACTTTCATGATGTCAGAATGGTAGGAAATGTTGCAAAATCTTGCTTTTTCTTGGAACTATGATCTGAGATCTATAACATTTAACCAAGTTTGGCTACTAGTGATACAGTATTCTTGAGCTCAGAGTGACAGTATTTTATCCAATTCTGGCAACTATCATGATAGTACTTGTGACATCAGAATGATAGTATTTTGCGACTTTCATTTTTAACAGTGATGTCAGAATGATAGAAAATGTTGCAAAATCTTGCTTTTTTACTGTTCACTATGATCTCAGATTTATAACATTTTTGGCAACTACAGTAATACAGTATTCATGAGCTCTAAGTGAGAGCATTCACGAGCTCAGAGTGATAGTATTTTAACCAATTCTGGCGACTATCATGAACTTAAGAGTGATATTACTTGTGAACTCAAGAGCGAAAGTATTCATGAACTCAGAGTAAAAGTATTCATGAGCTCAGAGTGATAGTACTTTACAAAGTCTCATAGCCACCAAGAGCTCATGCCAACACACCGGACTTGCTTCCCCCTATGGTCGAGTCGTAGTTGGTCCTGTAGCGACGACCTTTGACATGCCTGTAGATGGTCAGCACAAGCTTGGTCAGCAGCAGGGTTCCGGCCACAGCCAACAGCACCACGGAGAAGGTGGAGTTACGCGCCCCTTCCTTGTAGTTCCTGTCGATGCTTCCGGTCAGAGCCACCACCAGGACGATGTACGGGGTTATTGTGTAGCGGGAGTAGCGGTCAAGGAGCAAAAGGTCAGTGGCTGCGAAGACCAAGATCTCCGCAGACAAGATGGACAGGCTGACGGTAGCGGCGTTGGTCACGCTGATGGAAGGGTCGGCTCTGTAGGTCATCACCATGGCGGCGTTGAGAAGCGTGGCCACAGAGACCCACGTTGCCTGCATGGCCAGAGCATTGTGGAGAAGACCCCTGGTCAGCCAGATCTCCGAGGTTCGCTTCTGGTCCGCCAGACGTGGGGAGGCTTTGTCTAAAGCGACGTAAGTCAGTGCAAGCATGCCGTAGAACAGGAAAGAATAAGCGACCAGAACGGCAAACGATGCCTCAATTTCTTGCCGGTCAAAGGTGAGAAGCCACGCCATGTTCAAGCAGGATCCGATACAATACAGGACAAAGAGAGATGTTGGGATGAACATGGGCTCCGTGTACGCAGGTCCGTTGGGACCCCTCCGACAGATGTTGACTAGCGAGTAGACAATCCATAGAGCCTCCCAGGTGTAGATGAACCCCCAGATGCTGAAAGTCCAGCCGGCCGGAGTTATCTCCACGTAGTAGGCGTCAGAGAGGTCTCCCGTCTTGTTCTTGAAGATTGCTGACACAGAAAAACAATTATATTGGTTAACGGCTATGACAAAACTACAGGGCATCATTTGTATTTGTTTTACACTTTTACACTGTGCCGTCACTTTCCACAACTCCAGTGTCTGTCTGCTCTCCTATCTC